TCCCTTTTTTTGCGGGGGCTTTTTTTTTTGCCGCTTTTCCGGGCCGCTTTTTTTTTTGCGGTTTTCCCCAAAACCCACATGTGGCTTTTACAGGGCTCCCCTTTTTTTTGGAGTTCCGGGAGGGGAGGAACCCCCCCCCCCCCCCCGGGGGGCCCTGTGGAATGGTACCTTATGGGTGCGTAATTTATCCATTCATCCCGATGAAGCTCCCCCCGGGGGTGGTAGCAGGCGGGGATCGCTTTCGACTCTTGTACTTGCATCTCTTTCAAACTAGCTCGATTTCAAGGGTGTTTCGTCCTTTCCATCGAGCACTTTGCGAGAAGTGGGTGTACGTCCTAAACGCTGAAATGAAAGGCTTCCGGTGACTTCCTCTAAACCGTGTCTTAACGGTAACCGCGATATCGACCTGCAGGTGTCGAGGGCCGCGGCGGAGGCGGCGGCGGACAGAGCTAGCGCGGAGCTGGGGGATATTCGCGGTTTCCTCGTGGAGCTGTCGGCACTGTTGGCGCGCAGGTGCTCACGTGTGTGTGTATGTGTGCGTGCGTTTATCTGTGTGTGTGGATGTGTTCGTGTGTGTGTGTTTTCGTTAGCGTGCATCGTATGCGCCGACCGGCTGGCCCAAGGATCACGATACCGGTCTCGCCGCGGGGAGGGAGGGAGAGAGGGAGAGATAGAAAGCAACTACCATTGGTGTGTTTTTTTGTCGTTTTCTGTTCTCCTGGTTGGCTTGCTTGACCTAACCTTGCTCCATATGGCTTCACGGTCGGTGTGGTGTCTATTTTTCTCGTGTCTTGAATATCATCCTTTTTGGCCTGTACTGTAGGTGGTCAGGTTACGGGTAGGCGGGTGGGGCACGGGCGCGTGGAACCGGCTTGACATGAAGCTCCGTTCTGGCGTTGCACCGTGCCCCTTTCACGAAAAGCTTCAAGTCAGCACAAATGAACAAACGGTTTTCACGATCAGCCACGACGGCAGGATTTTTTTCAGCAACGATCCGCCCCCTGTGTACCTTCCTCACGCTAAAGTGTGTCTGCCGGGATCTTGACACGCGGCGACGACAGGTTCACAGACCTTTTTCGCGTCTGCGTCCGGTTGCGGAAAGTCCTTGCGTTCCCGATAACGCAGAGGTCAGAACGGCTTGCACTGCTGTGAAGACAACAATAACAACAACAACAAAGACGACAAGAAAGTACAAGAAACAGTAGCAGTAACAACAACAATAACAACAGCAGCGGCAGCAGCAACAGCAGCAACAACAACAACAACAGCAACAACAACAACAACAACAACAACAACAACAACAACAACAACACTAAACGATTTTGCAGCAACGCGGAGGCGGCCAGCGATGGGGAGGCCTCCCCTGGTTGGAGCACGAACGGCAGCAGCACCATTCCCCCGTCGGCCAGCGATGCGCCAGGCGCTGGTGCTGGTGCTGGTGGTTGCGTGAAGGTCGTCGCCGCCATCTCGGCGGGGGTGAAAGGCCTGCTGGCTGAGCGAACGGTAGCGGCCAGCGCTCTTCGTGAGCTGGTGAGCCCTTGTTGTTTTTTTGGTAGCCATCGGGGCCGGCGTGTGTGACGTCTGTCGGCGGCACAGAAACAACTGCAGCACGCGGAGAGGGAAAGTTCGTGTGTAAGAGCTGCCGCAGAAGAGCTCGCAGCAGGAATCTTGGGGTGATGCGGATGTAATTACACGAATGCTCGTTTGACGCCGCCGCGCGACCGTTTTTTCGCTTGCCCGGAGTAGAGTTCAGCTGCAGTAAGAGTCAGGCAGACGAGAACCTAAAATGTAGGATAGACTTGCCGAAGAAGGGATACCCTTAACGTTTGCGCGAGGGCTGGGGCATGTGAATCGCCCCCCCCCCCCCCCC